AAGAATATAAACAAACAGTTTGCAACCAAAGTGAAGACAAGAATATAAACAAACAGTTTGCAACCAAAGTGAAGACAAGAATATAAACAAACAGTTTGCAACCAAAGTGAAGACAAGAATATAAACAAACAGTTTGCAACCAAAGTGAAGACAAGAATATAAACAAACAGTTTGCAACCAAAGTGAAGACAAGAATATAGACAAATAATCTGAAACAAAAGTGAAGACAAGAATATAGACAAATAATCTGAAACAAAAGTGAAGACAAGAATATAGACAAATAATCTGAAACAAAAGTGAAGACAAGAATATAGACAAATAATCTGAAACAAAAGTGAAGACAAGGATATAAACAAATAATCTGAAACAAAAGTGAAGACAAGAATATAAACATATAATCTGAAACAAAGTGAAGACAAGAATATAAACAAACAGTTCGCAACCATAGTGAAGACAAGAATATAGACAAATAATCTGAAACAAAAGTGAAGACAAGAATATAAACAAATAATCTGAAACAAAAGTGAAGACAAGAATATAAACAAATAATCTGAAGCAAAAGTGAAGACAAGAATATAAACAAACAGCTTGCAGCTAAAGTGAAGACAAGAATATAAACAAACAGTTTGCAGCTAAAGTGAAGACAAGAATATAAACAAGTAATCTGAAACAAAAGTGAAGACAAGAATATAAACAAACAGTTTGCAGCTAAAGTGAAGACAAAGATATAAATAAACAGTTTGCAGCTAAAGTGAAGACAAGAATATAAACAAGTAATCTGAAACAAAAGTGAAGACAAGAATATAAACAAACAGTTTGCAGCTAAAGTGAAGACAAAGATATAAATAAACAGTTTGCAACTAAAGTGAATACAAAGATATAAACAAACAGTTTGCAACCAAACTCAAGAACCAGGATAAAAAACAACAGTTTACAACCAAAGTCATGAGAAATATATAAACAAATAGACTGCAACCAATCATTAGTTTTATCCTTTCTCAAGAACTAGAAAAAAATTATATAGATCACAAGCCAAAGAGAAATTGAATTTGAAAGAGAAACCTTGTTTACGAACATTTATAACCTCTAAATCCTCTCATATCTGATTTTATCCAATTAAATACAATTTCATTCTATTCTTATTTAGATTCATAAATGAAAGTTTCCTCCATAATGATAACTGTACCTTTACATGTTGGGCTTTCATAATAGACAAACATTAATTCAAGTACATGTGCTTAAGAGATGCATGTGCATTTCCTAGTTTTAAATTTGTTATTCTATTATCCTAAAACTTAAAATAAATGGCAAAATGGATTTTAACTTTTCATTATTTTGTTTGGATAATATATTTTTCATTTATTTTATTAAGGTGAACACTAAAAATGATATTTTGAATTGAGAAGAAGTCACATTGAAGTAGTTGGGTTTACTATAATATATACCAGCATCAGGGATTTTTGAACACTACGTACCAGAGTAACAACTTTGTAAACAGAATATTTCAACACATAAAACCAATTTGAAACAATAAAGAACTTGTAATTACTAACAATTTTTGGTTTCTTACAATTCAATTTTTATTTTGCTGACAAGTGTTACAGCAAGTAAAACTGAAGCTTTGTCTAACTTCTTTCAGACAATTATAATACTAATTGTAGCACAAGAATAGACACAATGTGATAATGCAGAAAATTAGTTGGCTGCAACACAATCTTAAAACATAATACTTAATAATAATGAAAAAGGTACCCCACAATTTCAACAACTGAGAAATGAGTTAAATAAGCTAACATTTTATTTCATCCATCCACTTTGAAACAGACAATTTTTATGCTTTGATAAAAACTTTTCCACAAACTAAGCATTATTGACGAACAAGTTCCTTTTTTTTTGGCTGTCATTCTTATAACACACTCATTGACTCAGAGTGCAAAGAGAAATTTTACATCCTCAAAGTAAGTTTGCTTTAAACTAGAAAGTCCAATCTAGTCTTTTTCTCGATTTGTTAAGCCAAAAGCAATTGTATCAAGATCTACATATCACACACAAACACCACTTATGTTTATAAGGAAATCAAAACTTGTTAGAAGTCACTTTCACTGCTCTTATTAGGTAAAAATAAAACAGCTGGAAAGCTACTTATGTGAAATACTTACAAAATTAATATACCTTTTTCACAATTATGTTTCTTTCACTGTGCTTCATAGTGTTAGATATAAGGATTAAAAAAGATTTCAAAACCTTTTTTTAACACTAGTTTACAACCATGAAATAAAGACTTTTATAACAGATTCATGTATAAAAGGGGCTTATATAGGTTAGCAATTACCATTGATGACTAGTTTGCCATTGGGATGTTATAAGAAAGATCACATAAGCCTCCAAAGATGAATGATTATTAGATAAAGCACTATAGGTAGGAGTATTCTAGAATTGGAGCCTGCATATTTATATTTATTTAAATCGAAGACCATAGGGCATTCTTTTTATGGAGGATCAAACTAGCCATGATAAATTAATCATTTCATCATTCATACCAGTTTTGAAACAGGCTACAATACATGATTCCCCATTGTGCATTACATTCACCAACAAGGTTTTTTAATTATGCTTCAGGAATGAAGACCAGTACATTTAGTATGTATAGAGATCCATCCTATGTAATTTCTTAGATGGACTTCAGCCCATAAGTAGTTAGTCAAATCTGTGAATGAAAGGCATCAACTTCTTGTGATACCCAAGCGTTAAAAGTGAGCTGCAGAACAATGAAAAACCATAACATGGATCAGTAATTTTAAAAACTCATTTCAGTTTTTGGATAAATAGGTCTAGATCAATGAAAACTCGAAGAATGCTTTTGGTAACTCAAATATTAAGAGTAGTGGGGTAGTATAATGGTGCAGGCCTATTCTAGCTGCCTTAAGCCTGGCCCACTAATTACAGTTAATGGATCCATCAATGACTTGTTACACTTTGACATATTACACAATACTTCTAAGCCTAAATTGAAAGATTTCTATATGGAAGGACAACACCTTTTCCAATATGATAATCTGCCATACCATACTGCATGCCATGTCCTACAGCAGTTCCAGATAAATGTCATCCAGGAAATGCCTCAGACAGCATAAACTCCAGACATGAAACAAATTCAATATTCATGACAGGAGTGGAAATGGAAAGACCCTGCAATTTCAAAACATTTAAAGCTGCTCTTTTTTTATTTGATCAGTGTCGGTCTATTACACCAGATCTTCATTAATGTTTGGTGGCAAGTGCTAGCATTAGTCAATTTAGCCACATGAATTAAAATATGTTGACAGTGGCACAACAGGTCACACAATCTCATCTTAATGTTTGATGTTGCAATACTTTTGGTAATATTAAGCACAGTATATATACATTGACTCACATTAAGCACTGTCAAAAAATAATAAAAATAACAAGCAATAGGGTCTTTCAATGGTGTAACATTTCTGTGAGAGAGTACTACACTTGCTATTTTAATTTAGAAAAAGTTTATATAGTATGTTTGAAGGAAAGTTAAAGCTGAGAAGGAGACTTCATACTATTGTTAAAATAATTTTAATGTAATAAGAAATGAACAAAACAATGTTGAATACACAAAGAAAACATTTATTATCAATTATAAAAAATTATCTTTACACTTTACATTATTTTATAAGTTATCTAAACTGACCTTCCGAGTGATAACTGTGATTTTTGGAACAGTAGCTTCAGAGTAAGCATATAAAAGCTTGGCGCCATGTCGAATAATGCCACCATACTCTTGTGAGGTTCCTACAATAAAGAAGAAGAGTTATAACTTTTGAAATTAACACACATACACACTAGTAAATGTACCTAACTCTCTTATGGCATTCATATTGTTGGTGTAAAAGGGATTGTGGTATGAAATACTTAAGCATCTTCTGCCAAGGAGATCTACCAAGTATGTGATCAGAAAAAGCAGTTGTGCTACATACAAGCAGCATTAAACGTCACTTTTGTTTGGCACTAGCTTCACAGAGTAAAAATTCAAATGGCTGTCAAACTCGAACAGTTTGTCTGGTTGTTTATCCGTATCTGTAGGAGTCAATCCGAGTCCCTTTACTAATTCTCACCAAAATATTTCAGCCAATTCCTCATAGCAAACAACCACTTGTGATATGAGGACACCAGTTAAAGACAGACAAACGTGCTTTATATATATATATATATATATATATATATTCAAAGGTCACCCTTCAGGATGTAAAATAAACAGAAAATCTATAATAAAAACATTCAAATACCAATTTTCAACTAAACATAAATAACCTGAATTAGATACATATTCTTTAAAATGTACAAACATAAAACAAATTAGTTTAAGCTTATCTAATACACTTTCCATTCTTTTCAATTTATTTATCTATTAAAAGTGGCTCAAAAAAATTTATGAATTATTTTTCTAAAAATAATCTTTTATATGACATGCCCCAAAAAGAAAATAAGGTTCTTTCATAATTTTAAATTAGCTCAAAATACATTCATTAATATGCTTGCTGACATATACTGGGCTTTATTGGAAAATTAACACAAATTTAGGTAAATTCATCTTTAAACTTAAGTTATCTATTTCACCAACATAGAATTCACAACAATTTACACAATCTAAAAGATACCTTAAGTTTCTATAATTGTAGTTAAATAAGTTAATGAAAAACAAAATATATTTATCTATCTTATGCTGTTACATTTTGAAATATACATATTTAATTCAGGATATTTATGTTTAGTTAATTGTTATTTGAAAGTTTTATTATAGGTTATCTATAAAATCACATCCTGAAGAGTGACCATTGAATTTTCAAAACTGGTAAAAAAAAAAAAGAAAAGAGATATATATCATAAAAATGCATTCTTTAACATTTAAACTAATGTTTGAACTTTCAACTTTTTCACAAGAGCATTTCCCTAATGAACCACTTAGAAGAATAAGAACATATTGTAAATTAATATTCTTCTATATTTTAAAAAAAGTATTGTTATGGTTATTACTATTTGCATAATTTCCAGTTTGTGTATTTACACATTTCTAAACATATAAAACTGAGGTTATTATACTAAAATGAATTCTCATGGCCTACAAATAAAGAAAAACCAGAGCACTTACCTGGAAGAAATCCTGGAACATCAACAAATGTTATGATTGGAATATTAAAAGCATCACAGAATCGAACAAAACGGGCTCCTTTAACTGAAGAATTGATATCAAGACAACCTAAAGATACAACAAAAATGTTTTGAAAATTCAACTGACTAGTTCCACAAGTCAATTACTGTTTTAAAAACAATATAAAACTTATTAAGAAAAGTGAGAGTAGGTTGCTAATATTTTTAGTTCTCAAGATAAAAGTATGTCACAAAAAATAATATTCATAATCTATTAACTTTTTACTTGATTCAAAACATATGCAAAGATAAGTCTATACTTCTTACAACTTTCTTTTAAAATAAAATGTTGAAGGCCATATTACTACATGTATCAAGTATGGGAATCTCCAGTATATACAAACAAATTTTAAATTTTTTGCATGGTTAAAATGTACCAAGTATAACAAATTGAAGGCTCTTTTACAATGCACCATTCTAGTAACTCTCCTCTTAACCCTTTCCAACAATTCAATGTCTATCCTGAGGTAAGGAGCCCAAGACTAAACACAATACTCCAAATATGATCTAACCAGTGACCAATACAATGAAATTATAACCTCTTTACACTTATATTCAATATTTCTGTAGATACAACCTAAAATCCTTTTGCCCTACTACTAGCAACAGCACACTGCTTGGATAGCTTCAGAAACTGATCAACCATTACAACAAGATCCTTTTTCTTTCATGACACTGTTAAGGTTATTCCCATTCAAACTATACTTATAATTCAAATTATGATAACCCACATGCATTTGTTATTAATAAAACCCACCTGACATTTATTTGCTCAACTCACTAAATAATCTAAATCCTTTTGTAAACCAGCAGCATCCTCTTCACAGCTAGCAACACCCAAGACTTTATTATCATCAGCAAATTTAGGTTGTATATTGACAATTCCTTCATCTATGTCACTGATGTAAATAAAAAGAGCAAAGGTTTTAAAGACTGAGCCCTGAGGTACCCCAACTGTGACATGAGTCCAGTTTGACTGAACTCCATTTGTAACAACCCTCTGCTTTCTTCTGTCCAACCACTCTTCTATCCAATTAGCTAGCTTATCCCCCACACCTATAGATAATTTTTTTACAAGCCTTTTATATGGCACTTTGTCAAAGGCTTTCTGAAAATCCAAATGCACCAAATCTACAACCTTACCCTCATCTACATAAGCAGTAACCTTTTCAAAGAATGTCAGAAGATTAGTAAGGCAAGGTGTTCCTTTAGTGAAAACCTGTTGACTATCTAATAAAATTTTAAACTTTGTTAATTGATGTTGTAAAGCATCTTTTATCAGGATTTCCAAAACGTTTCCCCACAACTAATGTTAAGACTAATAGGCCTATATTTACTGGGACAATTTTTTATCAACTCCCTTAAAAAGATGAGTGACATTAGCTAACTTCCAATCCTTTGGCACCTACCCACTATTCAAGGACTTACAAAAAAAATAATAATAGCAAGTGGCTCATATATTCGATCTTTAGCCTCCTTCAAAACCCTTTGGGAAATATTATCTAGCCCAGGAAAACTTATCATTTTTTAAATTTCCCAATTTTTTCCTTAACAAGCTCAGAATTATTGCAATCATATTGTCCGACCTTGTTTCCATCTATCAACTGTTTAAGATTAGAAATACTGTTTAAATCTTCATAAGTAGAAACTACAGAAAATGCATAATTTAACCTAGCCATCTCATAATCATCAGATACAAGCTTTCCTTTATCATCCCTCATAAGTCCTACCCTCATCCTAACATTTTGTTTACCCTTAAAGTATTTAAAGAAATCCCTATTGTTAATTTTGACATTTTCAGCCAACCTTTTCAATGTCCTAATTTCCTGTCTGACCAACTTTCTTGGTCTTCTATAATCTTCTAAGTCTCACATCACACCAGTCAATTTAAATTTCTTAAATTTGTGATACTTTTCTTTAATTTGACCTCTCTATGAGCCAACCTGGTTTTTTCATTTGAAGCCACCCTTTTCTTTCCATAAGGAATATTTTTATCTTGAATATTTTAAATTTATCCTTAAACATTTTCCACATTTGAGCAATGTCTTCAAATAACACAGCTACCCAATTCATACGATAATTCTTGTCACATCCCTTCAACATTTGCTTCTTTGAAATTTGTAACCAAAATATCATTATTTCTGTTCTCCATATGCAGCAAACATCAAACGTAATAAAGCAATGATCACTTGCACGCACCCAGATGTTACCCAATTTACACCTTCTCAACAATTTGTATATTAGAAGTTAACAATAAATTTAAAAATAACATTATTTCTAGTAGGTTCCTTGACAAATTGGTGAAGAAAACCATCTTAAACAGTTTCCAAAAACCTTTTTCCCCCTCATGGTTTGACTAGCTTTTCCCAGTCGATGTACCTGAAATTAAAATCACCCATAATTATAATCTCAGTAACAGCTGAAATCTTAATCTCACTGTAAAGTTTCTCACTAATTTCATCAGCATTGTCAAGGGTGGGGTGGAGGGAGGTCTGTAACAAATTCCCACTAAAAGCCTTTTCCCTTTGTATCCACTAACAGAAACCCAAATGGATTCAATTTCTTTGCTATTATCTTTGATATCCTCAACTTGAACAGGATGTAACTCACATTTGACATATGAAGCCACTCTTTCCCCTCTCTTTAGTACTCTATCCCTGTTAAATAACCTATAACCCTTTATTTCAAAGACATTTTTGTCATAAAAATAATCTATATTTAACCATGTTTTAGTTATTCCCAATATATCAAAATCCTCCATTTTTACCAGTGCCCTAAAATCATTTGTTGTATTTCTTACACTTCTAGCATTACAATAGTAACAATTAAGCCTATCCTCAGAACTACTTCTATACTTACTTCCTATGCTAAACTTTTTCTACATCTCAGTTTTTTGCATTTAGTTTATCCTGGCTCACACCACTGTCTAGTTCTAGTTTAAATCTTCCTTTACAGCTGAGTTAATAGCCCTTGCAAACAAAGCCAGACCTTACTCTACTTAAATGTACAACATCCATTCAAAAAAGCTCCCTTCCCCTACTGAACTGATCCCAAAGATCCAACCAGCCTATCTGCTCATCCTTACATATTAACCTAAGTCTAGCATTTAGCCCTAATGACATACTCATAATTGCATCCCCACAATTAATTCTTGGCAGTATTCCCAACACAATTAAGTTATGACCTTTGTCTTTAAATGCCTTTATCAACCCCTTGTACTCATTAAGTAGCCCCTCTGACCTACCCTTCCCTACATCATTAGCTCTTCCGGACACAACAAAAACTGCATCATTGCTAGCCCCCCTTTATTATATTTCTTGCTCTGTTAGTTATGTCCTCCACCTGTACCCCTGGGTAGCATTATTTAATTCTTTTCTCCTTATTACCCACAGACTATCTTATCCACATGCCTTGTCAAGGAATCACCTATAACTATAACCTCCTTAACTTTATTTATCATCCAAATCCTTCTCAGACACTTTTGTTTTCCTGCCATCCAACAATTCCTCATCAGCACAAGCCAAAGGCTGAAATCTGTCGCTGAATAGAATAGTTCATTAAATCCACTACTTTTAGTTTTAGCCCTAATAGTATGCTTTCTAACTTCCTGAAAGGCATTGTTAGCTGATGTATTCCTTGCATGTAAAAGCTTAAGCTCTTCTTGAAATCCTCTGCCATTTCCCACAGTTTACCCTTTTCTTTATTTATTGCCTCTACTTTAATTAGGATAGCCTCTAACTTCTCCTCCTACCTACAAACTCTACATATAAATTGCACATATTCACAACTAGTACTAGCTTCCTGAGTTCCCAATTAAAACCCACTCACTGCACCTAACAAACTGTAAACACTTTCCTCCAACACTAGTCTCAACCTTTGTATTTGTAGCCTGGAAATATATATACTCAATACCAAATACCACTAGCTTGTTGATAACACTATTAAGCCTAATGTTTACCACTGAAGAAGAAAGGTCCACCTTTCAAGAGTTTGAGTTATAGGATTTTTATCATTTTAGAATGAAATATATCACAGTTTAATTGTTTTATTTTTGTAGAAAATGGTATATATTATATTCATACATAAGGCTCTACTATGCTCTGCCAACTTCTTAGTGTGTACATAAAGTTACAAATAAAAAGATGAAATAACAGAATATCAATGGGTTAAATGATAAGAGTTATTCTGAGTACAAATATTCCTATTCATTCAAGACAAAAGCAAAAACAATTATGGTGCATCAACTCTTGGGATTTATGGAAAATACTCAACATTTAAATGATAGATACATGCTCATGCACACAGTCTACCAAAATATATACACAAACAGAGAAACAAATTACTTGTTACTTAAAAAAGTTAATGATAATAAATAAATTTACAGCCTGAGATTTAAATTACACATGAGGTGAAATGCACTTTGTACCTAAATGGTACACACACAGTTATACACCACCACAATATTTCTAAGTTCCCCTCTCACTGTGACTTTTTGTTTTTGCTTCATTGACTGTCTCTTTTTCTTTAGTTTCAATAATTGACAGGGATGTCATTAATTTTGCAAGAACATGCAAAGTGGTCCTGGATTCAGACTGCAGCAGGTTTCAAGAGAACCTCAAACCTTACAAGCAGCACATACCTCAGAAGTTAACAGAGACCTGCGTATGGAGTTTTGTGAATGATTCAAGGTTTAGCAGGAACTGAATAAGAATTTTACAAATAAGGTGTTTTGGACTAATGACAAAATGTTATATTTCAACAGTTAAATGAACCACAACAACTGTCAATACTGGTCCTAAGAAAACAAATATTGGATTGCAGAAACCTGAGGCCAGAGAGATAAGAGTGATAGCCTAGTAGGATGTCTTGCTTTTGGTAAATTTTTCATTAACAGGACACAAAGCATAAAAGATGATGTAGCTGCAGCACAATGGAGGGTTGCTCAACCAAGCAGTAGATTTCAGGTAATACATGGATGCTGCTTTTTCTAACAGATGAACAGAGCATTGCAAGTCAGTGGCATGAATTGCATACTACCCAGATCTTACATAATTAAATATTTTCTTTTGAGGATACATCAAATACTTGGTATTTATTACACATCCAAATAATGTGGAAGATTTGGAGCAAAGAATCACAACAGCTGCTCATCTGAAAAACTGCAATTACTGCTAAACTTAAGCTGCAACCTAAGCGTAATATCAATGATGCACATTTTAAACAGCTGTAGTAGGGCCAAAACTTAGAAAAATCATGGTTTTATGCAACTTTAGCAACATCCTAAATGCACATCCAAGTAACAGAAAGTCATATTTCACAATCTCTGTTTAAAAATTACAATTCAGCAAAATTTTTTATATGTAAAAGTAAGAGAAACTGTTCTTAACACCTTAGCTCTTTCAGCACAGGCTCGGTTCCTGGGACCGACCTCGTAACCATTTTATGTTTTTTACAGTTTCATGCAATAACTTTTAAATCATTAAACAAATGTTAATGAAATTTGGCAGATTATTGGTAAACATTACAATGCTTTCATATGCAAAATATCATTTTTTTTTATAAAGTCTTAAGGTTTGTAAAGCAATGTTTTTCTCATGCCTT